CAGAGAATAGGGTGCTGAAGGCCTGGGGCAGAAGAGGTGGGGCGGGCTGGAGGGGATCAATGGGTGAAAATGGGGGACATATGTAATACTTTCAACAATAAAGAATTATTTAAAAAAAATAAAAACATCTCATACCCTTAAAATAATTTGTATATTGGAATATAAATACAGTACTATGTTTTCTTGATATATAAGGTGTTCCCCAAAAATGTATACACACTTTCCCAGCTAATAGCTGTAGATTCTAATACATTTTGAAAATGAAATGTATTTTAATAAACACTGCCTTTATAGTATATATACATTTTTGGGGACACCCTGTACATTTTCTTAGTGTAGCAATGAAAGCTGCTGGAGTGGGGACACGATGGATCTTCTATTCCTTTATAAATAACCTAAATCAAATATTTTCCAAGTATTTTGAAGAGATAATGTTTAATTTCAAAATCCTCATTAACTAGAGTGTTTTGTGTTTTTTTAACTGGAATAATCCCATTAAAGCACAATCTCTTTCAGTATTGGACAAAGGTATGGAAGCCCATTCGGCTCTTATATTAACTAACAGAATTCTATTCTTATCTTCAAGGTTCTATTCACCAGTGTCAGAGGAATAGTTATTCCTATTTTTGTAAAGTTAATCTCTCCATCTGGGCCTTTGACATCTCTTTCTAATTATCTGAGATGTTGCTCTAAAACTTACACTTTAATATCTCTAGCTTTTCATCTCCATGGACTCTAGCCTTAATTCTGGTTTCAATTTTGCCTCAAGTTTGAAATATCCTCATGACAGCATTCTCTTTTATCTTCTCGTTCTCTTGTTCCTTTCCCTTAGTGGGCAAGTTTATAAATTTGTTTACTAGAGCCTTCTTTTTTCATTCTGGCCACTTTTTCCTTTATTCTTTCAAATCTGATCTCCCTTATAAGTCTCTGTGAAAAATGCCTTTCTAGAAGGGTCCCTTAATGCCCTTATGGCCAAATTGAAATGTTGTGTGTGTATTTTCAAGCTTGGTAAGATCTGTGTTGCATTTAATATCATTCTGTAAAAATATTTTGATTCTTTTTCCTCTCTTAGTTCATGACTCTAATACTTTTTTATATTTTCTTAGTTCTCTAAGCATTCTGTTCTTTCCTTCTCTGACATTTTAACTACTGTCCCAGCCGTGGGCAAACTACGGCCCGCGGGCCGAATTCGGCCATTTGAAATGAATAAAACTAAAAAAAAAGACTGTACCCTTTTATGTAATGATGTTTACTTTGAATTTATATTAGTTCACACAAACACTCCATCCATGCTTTTGTTCCGGCCCTCTGGTCCAGTTTAAGAACCCATTGTAGCCCTCGAGTCAAAAAATTTTCCACCCCTGGTCTAGACTGCATAGTAGGGCTACATGCTTTTCTCCTACTACAACTCATTTTGTAATAGATTTAAAAAAATAAGTTTATAATATTTTACATTTGAAGACCATTCACATTTAATATATATAGCTGTGTGAACTATTGAAGTTTATCTTTAAACGTCAATTATTTTAGCATCATTTAAAGAGAGGTTGACAATTCGGGGATGCTGAAAAGTTCTAATGAGCCTCACATGTTGATTCCCTTGATTCATTTTGACTATATATTGTTTATGTTGGAAATTACATCCAAATAAAAAGATGTATAACAGATATACTCTACTGGGGGGAGAATATGACTATTAAGAGTCAAAATTCCAGTGTATATTAGTGAATTGCTAACATTCTTATTTCCAATAAATGACTATAGTTCAGAAACTTACAAGAATATTTGTAGGAATTATAGATTTGTAAACCCAAAAGAATAATGTGAGATGTGGAATTATTTTTGGTCTGCCAACTCCAGTGGTTGGCAGGGACAGTTTGTCTGCTGACATCCATAATGAAAAAATGGGCCATGCTAGCGTCCCACAAGGAGGATAACAAATCAGCCAGAAGGATAAAATCCTAAAGGAAGGACAATCATCTTTTGTCTTAAATACAAATTTTTATGTCAACCAAATGGACTAGAAAATAGAGGTTATTAATTCACACTATGACACTCTAATCTTTATATTTAGGAGGCTTTTGGTTAAGTTCTTTCAATCACAGAGTTACCTTCATCTTACTGGTTATACTACCTCAGACATTGTAATATTTCTAGAAAAAGGGGAGGTTTTCATGAAAAGTAGATTTATTCATGTTTGAAATGAAATTAGAGATTAGCACAAGGAGAGCACAGTTCTAAAAGTAAATTTTATGAAGACACTCATGATATAGAATCATGTTTGGCATTGGAAATCTCTATATTGTTTGGACCTCATCTGTATTTGGAAATCATTTAGAATTCCCATTCTTGCAAAAAAAATAGTCTTGCTGACATTATGAGAAGGTATATTGATATTTATTAGAATTCAGTGAGTAAATATGTATTTTTTTAGAGTTTACAGTCAGCCAGGCTTCCTATGGTTCTGGATGAAGTCCGTATTGTTTCTCTGAGGTATTAATCAATTGTTGTGAGCGGCCTTAATTTCCCGGTGTTTATCTCTGCCGCCATCTTAGTTTCTCCCCTAAATATGTATTTTTTAATTTAACCATATAAAACTTAATAACCTAAGTGGTGAAAAATATCTGGAATTAAGTACCAATATTTCCTACAAATCCATGATTAAGTGTGTTTCATAAGAATAATAACAATTTCCTTTTCAATGTCATTCCCCCACCCCCAAAGATAAAAAGGCTTATTTAGCTGGTAGAAAAATTAATGCCTGCATTACTGTATATGAGGAAGAACTAAAACTAAGTTAAAATGACTATTGGCTTCTTTCATAAAAACGGAATCTTTTTTTAAGATATAATTATATCAGATGTGGTTAGTGTATTTGGAACAGTCCCCCAACAATGCTTAACAATAGAATTTTAAAATTCTACACTGTTATTTGTTGTTATATATTAGTCAGATTGATGTGACTATTAATAATCTCAGACTATGGAAAGGGATTTGAATAGTCATATTCAGAGTCTTACTCCTTAGGAAATACAGGAAGTCAACAGGGTTGTCCTGACCAGGCTATCATTCATCTTCTCTTATCAAGACATTACGTATATCCTCATCAGAATGTGATGGAGCATGCCATCCTGAGGAAATTAACTTGATCATGCTTCCTGAAAGGAATAGTTGTCTTTGATTTAACATGTAAATAAAAAGTACAGTCTTGGCCATCTGTAGTTGGGTCCTAGTGGAGGTTTCACACTATAGACCTGCTTTCACAGCAGAGAGGAAGTCTGATTGAGTCGTAATGAAGGTCCCAATCTTGTTATTTCAAGAAGGGGCATTGTTTAGAAATAGAAATGTTTAAGAATGGTCTAGTCCAGTGATGGTGAACCTTTTGAGCTTGGAGTGTCAGCATTTTGAAAAACCCTAACTTAACTCTGGTGCTGTGTCACATATAGAAATTTTTTGATATTTGCAACCATAGTAAAACAAAGACTTATATTTTTGATATTTATTTTATATATTTAAATGCCACTTAACAAAGAAAAATCAACCAAAAAAATGAGTTCACGTGTCACCTCTGACACGCATGTCATAGGTTTGCCATCACTGGTCTAGATAAATTACTAGATGATCAAATTATTACTGATAAGTAAGGAACGTTTATAAATTTAGAGTGAAAGTATCCTTCTGGGAGGACATCTGGGTCTTCTCACAGCATAGACCACTGGCCTGACATGGTCCATGGATTCTCTCAATATTCAGATGGAGACAGTGAAGAAATGCAGCCACCATCTGAGCACCTCATGCTCAGACAAAGTTAGTGATACAAACCCACTCTGCATTTTGTTTACTTACACTTGACCCCGGACTTTCACTAAAATAGAGTGTTTTATATGGGAAAAGCTGCCTTAATCCCTAAGGAAGCATTCCAAACAAATTTGCATTTACATTATCGCTGCTTACAATGAATTGATCCTTTTTTTCTCTAAGACAAAGGTTATATGATTTTAAAAGTAAAATGCAAACAAATAACAAGGCTCAACACCTCATGAATCTTAAAAGTAAATTTTCAATCTCAAGTTTCCATTTCAAACCTCCTATATTAGAATAATACAAGGGATTATTTACAGTCATCTTTCCAAAGGGATTAAAGTCAGTTTAGAAAATTGTGAATAGAAAAGCAGATATTCAACAGCTATAACTTCCCAACTCTATGCTCAGCTTCCCTTTTTATTATGAATAAAGTATTAAATGATTATTTTGATGTCTGTCTTTGTTTTTGAATCATCAATCAATAAATACTTATTAAGATAAATATTTCCTCAATTATACTGCTGCCACAGTCTGTCTTTCATATCGATTGCTCATAAGAATGTTGTTTTTCCACTCTATATTGTAATGAACATTAAATATTTAAAAATAAAAAGTTTCTGTGTAATAAAAAGAAAATTTCAATGTCTAAAGAAATGCTTCTAGAAAAAATCAGTGTTATTCTAGAAACATTTGAGTCAAGTTTAATAAAGGCTTCTAGTATTGTTTTCCTTAGGTAACTGGCGTTACATTAGGATTTTACCACTTATATGACTGACACATTAATGTGACACACACTCCTGTTCTGTCATTCATTAGTAATAGTTCATTTAGGATTTTAGCAGTGAAGACAGCCTTCTGACAGTCTCTTAGTTTGAGTTATTCCTAGAGGTAGTGTAGTGTATTTTCAGCTTTCTTTGGAGTGTGACAATTTCAGATTGCTTCTTATAGTATTTAGTCTATAGCTAAATTGTGCCATAACAAAATGACAAATGAGGTTCTTGTAAATATAAAGGGACTTTGCTTGACCAAAAAAAATGACAGATTTATGAAAGACTAAGAATTAAAAGAGGAAGACCTGCCCCTATTCTATGAACCAACTATGATTGGCTGGAAAAGTACTGCAGCCCTTGGTGTTTTGTCACAAACGTTTAGGGCCACATCTCTTGACTCTCCCTGGCCCCTTCCTTTCTCCGCAG